TATCAAGGAAATTGAGTAAAATGAATATATTTACAATTTTTTTCTTATCTACATAGTGGTCAGCTCCGAAAATTTTACTGGAATATAGTGTAAGGTGTTGTTTTTCTGCTAATGGTTCTCTGGAATATTACTTCAAACGTCATATTATAACGTTTGAAGGATATATGACGGTCATATATCCTCATCTTTAACCGAAAATAAAAACGTTGCGCTAGATTTAGAGAAATATTCTCTTCGCGTAGATTTCATTACTCAATCATTCGTGTAGAACACTGCGGATGTTTTCTGTGATCTCTGTAATTATGTATCACATATACACATTTAAATACAGCTATAATACTTTAGGTCACAGGTACAGATTCAGGTCAAAGTCCAGGTCCCCTTTTTCAGGTTCAGGTCTTGCAGGTCCGAGTCCACTTTTGCTAGGTCAGGTCTGGACATATGACCTGGACCTGACCTGGACCATCCTGTCTCTGCTCTAAATATCTAGGTATCCAGGGTGAGGGTGAGGCTACGAACTTCCACCCTCACCCTGGATACCTATATATTTAGAGATTTGACTTCTGAAAGATATACTGAACAGTTACCGTTACTTATAACTGGTCGTTATCGTTACTTGTACGGTAACTGCTTACCCGTTACCGTTACCAACAACGTCAACTGTTCAGCAGTTACAGTTACTGTAACGCTAATGGTAACTGGCACAGCCCTATACGCCACTACGTTTGAGATGGTCGCTTTTAAAAACCTTTCCTAATTCGAGTCATTAGTTTAAATTCATTGAACGTACCATGCTAGAATCATCATCATTTCAAAAGTCAAGGAGAGTAGTTTTATACGATGTAAGAGCAAACCATGTCTGCATTCGGCTGAATAGAGTTTTAGACAGGTTGTTTATTATCAAGGAAATTGAGTAAAATGAATATATTTACAATTTTTTTCTTATCTACATAGTGGTCAGCTCCGAAAATTTTACTGGAATATAGTGTAAGGTGTTGTTTTTCTGCTAATGGTTCTCTGGAATAAATAGTGGTTTTGAATTTGATGTTTGAATAATTGATTTAAGAAAGAACTGAGAGGTAGAATTAAATCGATCTATGGTGCAAGGAACTCAAAGAGAATATTTTAATTAACTCTTTGTTTTTTAATCGCTGTTTAATATTTCTAGAAACTCAATTTAATCAATAAAATTCGAAGATTAGCACACTCGCAGGAGACAATATTTAAAACCAATTTATTAACACCAACGAAAGAAGTCCAAGAATTTTTAAAGGTTCAAACGCAAATAATTAGTTTGGGCCACGAATTGAATTCGTTAATGTTATTATGAAAAATGGTTGCTTCGTAATGTACTTCTCTCAACTGTGTATAGTATATCTTTAAGATAAAACAGTATATAAAACGTTTTTTTGAATTGTTTTCTTGTATTTGTGCGTTAATCGTTATTAACTGTTGAAAAATTTATATATTTTCTTTGTGCCTTACTTTTTTGTGAAATTATTTTGTCCTAATCGTTTTATTTATAACAATATTGTTGGTCTTTTGGTTTATATTTCATTTGACAAGAACGTATTTGGTGAATAAAAATCATTGATTATCGACATTATCACTTCTCTTGGCGAGCAAAATTTTCGAAGAAATTGAGCGATTGCTCGAAAGTTTAAAAGTGTTTTGAAAAATTAATGTGACTCAAGTATACCAACTGAAAGTCATTTCAATGCCATTTTCTCAGTTTTTTTTCTTCATTATTAGTGTCAAATCAAATATAATGCTGTTATTCTTTTTAATTAAAATCTGATTCGTAATTATTAGAATATTCGAAAACACGTTTATATTTTGTTTTTGTATACAAACAAGCATGTTTTCTATTACAGACGTATTTACAAGAAAAAGAAAAGAAAACTTATCACACATTTATGCCAGCATCACCTGGACATTGTACAACATCTCCATTAATACTCTCTGTGCCTTGTGGCAGTGGTCCTGTCAATATACTAATTGGTACAGCTGTTTGCTGTCCATGATATTCCGGTGCCATACTAGTCGTTCTTGGCTTACTCAAGCCTTCAAACCATATGAAAAATCTTGTAATCATTATATTACTTCGTTCAAACAGTGTCTTAATATAAAAATGATAATATTTCCAAGTTAAGATTGACAGTAGAAACCCAATAAAAACATCAACTGTATAATGAAAACGTGTTGCAATTAGAAAGAGATATCCAGTTATAGCATAGATCCAAACGAGGTATGCGGTAAAGTAGAGTGTCATTGGATCACCAGTTGCATCCAGTTTTGGATAAAAAAACCAGAGAAAGAGACGTGATTGAGGACGCTGAACATGTTGTTGATGGCGACGAAATAGTTTATGATAAAGCCAAATAAATGGACGATATTCTTCACCTTTACTGTAGGTAGTCCAACAGAGAACGGATAGCGTGACTAAAAATAAAGAGAACTTTAAGACACAATCTTCTAACCTCAATGTCAAGTATCTTTTGGCATGCAAAAACCGCTTCTTTTGACTCTCAAGCCATTTGGAAACGCAAATTCTCTTAGTTTTTCTGCCTCCGTTTATATAGAAGCTTCCCATGTTGTCGAAACTGACGATTAACCACGGTTATTTTAAGAACCGGCGGTTAACCGCAGTTAAACATCGGTTCTTAAAATAACGGTGGTTAACCGTCAGTTTTCGTCCCGTTTCGACAACATGAGTAGAAGTATTAAAAAGCAGCGATTTTCAGACCCAGTGTCTATACAAAAAGTTAGAAGCTCGGAGGTGGGCTTTTAATCTGTCGGGAGGTTTATGGCGTTTATCAGAATTGTTAAAAAATCTTACTCAGAATTCTAAGAATTATAAAGTTTTTTGAGAATTTTCACAAAATCTTAATTAAGGAACTAATTTATGAAACCTGAAACAACATAAATCACATATTTATGAAACTTGTGAAAAGTTTCATAAAATTCACGAAACTTAGATGTTGAATTTTTTAACCCACGAGTTACATAAAAATGAAAAATTTTATGAAACTTTTTACAAGCTTCATAAAAAGTTTAACATGGCTCTCAAAGAAAAATTTTCTTAATTAATCAGCACATGTCTCCGAGAGACCTATGGTTATTAATTAAATTGGCTTAATTAATGAATTAAGGTAACTGCGTATGTCTCTAAGAGGATTGTTACAATAGTATAATTGTATAAGTCTCATAGTGACATATGTTGAATAGTAGGAATGATGATCATAATTTTATTATTTCCAAGTAAAGACGCTAATACTAACATTTTAATTAGTGATGAATGAGTCTGTGGGTAAATGTGCTGATAAATGAGTGTTCCTCAAGAAAAGTTACATTTTAAAGTAACAAACTCACACACACTCACACTACACACATAGAGATAGTTAAAGAAAATAATAAAGACCACACATCACACTGTATTTCTCACTGTTGATGATTCATAATGAGCTGGTGCCTAAACAGAACTGCGCATTATTCTATGTGTCTCTCAGTAAGTTATTCAAAGAGTTCTAAAATGAAAATTGAAGGCAATATCTGTCTCTGAGCGTCTTAATATCAACAAAATATGTCTCTGAGCAACGTACAGGTCTCTGAGAGGGTGATTCTTACGGCTTGTCCAGCTAACGGCCTCAATTTTTTGCTCTTTTCGAAAAGTTATTGCAATAAAGCTACAAACTAATCTAAAATGATAACTGGATGATTAGGTAGACTAAACATTTCTCCACAAAACGAAAAATGTCTCGGCTCTGAACGTTGATTCGTTATGAAAATACAGCTGTTGTACAAACTGCCCCCAAAATCGATTTTTGAGCTAGCTGAAAGCGTGTCTAAGAGAGCGAAGCCGCTTAGTCCTTTTAAAATAAAACAGTTTTTATTCAATTGATTTAGTTAGAAAATGTCGCTGAGCGACTCATAACTCACTAAGTTACGCATATCTCTCCCGTTCGAATATATCTGATACAAACTCACTACGCTTCTTAATAGATAAACTCCCCCAGTTTAAGAAAGTAGCCACACTTTAAACTAATAACTATTCTAACGTTTATTATTCAACAAAAAATATTTTTTATATTGACAAAACATGTTTTTCTAATCCACGATTGAATTTACCTTCTACACTTTCACAATAATGACACAACTTTTCATCCGTTTAAAAGTTTGGACATGTCTATAAGAGACCCTCTTAGAAACTTATACACAGCTCTGTGGGAATAAAAATACCGATTTTTGTACGAGTAAGCATATGTCTCTGAAAGACTCACATCTCACTTAGAGACTTCTATATACAGTTTTAGAATTGAATTCCATATTTTTATTTGAATCAACCTATGTCTCTAAGTAACTCATAGCTATCTTGGCGAGATGTTAGCACCTCTATTTGGTGGAGTCACTGTGTCTCTACGAGCCTCACGTAGCATCTAGAGATACATTGATACTGTTTTTAATTAAATAAATCATTATTTTCAATTAAACCACAAACACACGTCTCTACGGGACATATACTAATTATATAATGTTATATGTCTCTGTGTGACATATTAATACTACAATTAATTAAGGAACTAATTAATTAAACCTGAAACAACATAAATCACACATTTATGAAACTTATGAAAAGGTTCATAAGATTTAAGAAACTTGGATGTTGAATTTTTTAACCCAGAAGTTACATAAAATGAAAAATTTTATGGAACTTGTAAAAAGTTTCATAAATGTGTGATTTATTTATGAAGACAGAATAATCCGAGAGTTTTCGTGTTTTTGACAGTTTTAGCATGTTTTTATGTGTCAAGCCCTAAATTTAATTATAAATCCGTTGACAATTGCAGGAATTTCCATAAACTCTATGAGATTTTCAGAAATTTCACTGACATTTTTGCAGAATCATAGAAAAACGCGATAAAAACGTTAGAAGTTTGGCGGGATTTTTGAGAATTCTCATATACGTGCTATCCGACGTTTACGACGTTTTTTGAGAATTCGTAATTTCAGGTGTCTGTACAAGGCTAGCTACTAGAGGCCTGCAGGATCAAACTTCTTTGATTCCGGTCTAGTGACGAAAAAAACTTTTTTAGAAATTTTTATGTTCCTTACAAGACAATTTTTTCAAGAAAACCTGGTCTCGGTCGCATTAAAAGTCCTTCGAGACTGGGACCGTTCCGCAAATCTCTAGGTCCCGGTTCCATGAAGCTTGGTCCAGGTCCCATAAAAGGCTCCGCGGGACCAGGGTGGGATCGAGACCGGGACGGTTCCGTAGACCTCTACTCGTTACAAGTGTTAAAACAGTCTGAATTTTAGGCGTTTTTTTCGTTCTTGTCACAAGATTATGAAAAGTGGAATAGATTGCTAGAAACATTAAAAGCAAAGCAATTTTCCGGTCCCGTATCGTTTTTTATTAACAGCAGCGTTCAAAATTCGTTCTCACCTGTCTTTCTCAATCAAAACGTCTCTCGCTTTGAAAATCGGTAAGGTGTGATATACCAAAAGACTGTTTGCACGCTCTTATATCGGGCTATGAGACGTTGTTTTATAGCTCCTTTCCACTTACTCGAGACTGTATGTCCACTGAACATTACATCACCACACGTTCCATGTATTGCTAGCATGATATAGAATGCTTCGGTGGCAATTGGCCCTGTCGTCGTAACATTACAACCTGGTTGTGGTATACTTAACGAAGTTACATAAATCGATATTGAACGCATACAAAACATAATACCTTGTAGAAAGAGCCAACGTCGAAAAACAATAATACGTATATCTGATTGAAATAGATAGCGGATGATAACGGAAACAAAAATTCCGATAAGACACCAATTATTAAATTGAAAGTAACTCCAGTAGGGAAGGATTTTATGGCCGATATCTGGTAGAGCAGGAATGGTTTGTGGATATTGATGATCGGCAATGTATGTTAGGACAGAATTCGTATAGAGTGCAATGAGGAAAAAGATAAAGGCGAGTAAAAGAGGTAGATAGGGACGACTTTTAACATAGCATGGCATAAACATTATCTAACAGAAAGAATAAAGTACTGGTCGACTCAGAAACGAGAGACAAACAGTAAGCTTAAAAGTGTAAATATAAATGATAGCATTATTAAGAAGACGAAATAAAACGAATTAGTTAATATACTGAGTCAGTAATATGATATCGTAGAAAAATACAGAACAAAATCCAGAATCGCACAGGACGATAACAACGAGAATTTTTTTTTCAAGATAAGCTAAACAAATAACTCGTTAGAGTTAAAAAAAGGGAAGAAAAACTTGGTTCTTTTTTGCTCGTTCCTCGCATACACCTTTTACACACCCATTTTTTTCTTCTTTTTTGCCAGTTGGGATCAACTCAAAAAAGAAAAACTCTTTTTCATGATAATTACTTTAATGAAGAAAGAATTCCGACGGACAAAAATAACAAGAAGAAGCATTAAAAAGTCTGAAGGTCGACGATAGTATTTTGCTAATATCAGAAGATAAAGGTGATAATATTGTAGCTATGAATACGTCAGATTATAAACCTAAGATAGAAGAAAACTTAAGTAATAGTAGTATATATACGAAATTGAGTAGAAATTCAACCAAAAGGTTAATAAAAGAGTTAAAGTGAGGCGTCCGTAATTCAAAGATCAAGCGGGTCTTAATTTTTTGCTTATATATATTCGACGCAGAATTTTACGTTGATCACGAATATCATAGGTAAAAAATTCTTAGTGCGCGTTTTCCCATTCAAAGAATGGGGAGGCTGTGATTTTCCGAAATGTTGACCTCTTTTCAGAAAAACTCCAATATCTTCGCTCCGGAGCACTTTAGGAAGTCAGCGATATGATATTCAGAATCAGTGCGAAAAACTGATTCTCGCGCATTTGAAGCGGGAATTTCAAAACAGGGGGAGGATCACTTTGCAAACCTATCTAGTTTTTTGTGTAAAGCGATAGAGCCTTGATTCTTACACCATTCGAACGGCCTTGAGACGCACTACAAAAGTATGCTTTACTTTTTTCAAAACGTTTTTCCTTTTAGGAGAAATTAGGAAAAGATAGAAAAATTTTTTGAAAAAAAATATGAGACTTATAGTTTCAATGAGTAATACAACTGGCTCAACAATGACCAAACACTGACAACTTTAAATGAAAATACCATCATCAACATGGTTAAATTTTTAACAGATAACGTTTATTTTTAATTCGGGAAACATTTTTATCAACAAAAACACGGGCTTCCTATGGGGTTTTCTCTTTCACCGCTATTAGCGGATATTGTACTTATCGATTTCATAGAAAGATATTGGGATAAGGCACGTTTTTCATTTGCCTATTTTGGACGGTATGTTGATGACGGGCTCCTCATTTCAGAGTTAAGTGACGATCAAGTAAAGAAATTAGTTGAAGATTTGAATAGTAAAACGACAAATTCAAAATTTACATTCGAATTCGAGAAAAATAATAAAATTCCATTTTTGGATGTTTTAATAACAATTGACAAAATAAACAAAAATTTCACAACCAGTTGGTTTCGAAAAGAAACCGCATCAAATTACCTTTACCGTTAAAAATATGACAAATCGTGTTTTGATAGCCAACAATGGTTACAAAAATGAAAAAGATTTAAATGATTTGCAAAAAATTTTAGAAAATAGTCAATTTTCAAAAAATATTAAAGATAGAATCCAAAAAGAAGTTAATGATAATTTAAGTAGAAGTAATAATGTTAACAATAATAATAATAAGCTTCCATATCTTCAAACAACTCACATAAAAAACTATGTTTTCAAGTTAATAATTATGCAATTATTCTCATCATTTTTTAAGGATTAATATTTTATTAATTGTTACTTTTTAAGTTTAAGTGTCTCTTTGTACACGCAACACGGTTTATTTTTCTTTTCGATTTCTACTGAAGAATAATGAATCATAGTCAAAACATCTCTAACTGAAAGCTTTTTTAAGAGTATACATCTTTCCTTTTTTTAACACGAAACAAGTCCCTTACAGCCATAAAAGTCAGATCCAGAGCACTCTTTTTGAATCTTTATTTTTGTATCTAAATGTTAAGCTGAATATATGTTACAAACGGTTACTAGATTTGAAGGTAAAAATCGCGTTTCTATAGGTGTTTGAGAATAGTCCGGAGCTTGTTAATTAAAGTCAATGTACATATTCCATGATAAGGAGCAGGAATAAGACTTTTTTGACGTGTTCGTTAATAGTCAGATTTTTTTGCGTTAATTTACCTTATTTTTACACCTCTAACTACCTTACTTATCACATTACTTATCAACAAATTCAAATATTTAGCCGTGGGGTGATTATAAGCACTAGAACTAGAAATAACGGGACGAACAGAAAGATTACATTTGTGTATCTCAGGTAGGAAGTAAGCGTCTAGTGTACCTGACTATAATCACAACACGGCTAAATATTTGGTTAACTTATTATTACCAGCAATGTCAAAGGCTGGATCATATTTGAAAGATTCTTTTGAATTTGTTGATAGAATCAAATTAGAATTAAAATTAGTTGTAAGACCTTGTTAACTGGAGAGCAAAAAAAAGAAAGTCCTTTCTTCGTGATTATTTTACATTTTCCTTCTTGACGCCTTTTTGCACGATACCAGCATAGAGTAATCATTTTATTGCATATAGTACATTGTATTTAAATACCACTAGTAATTAGTTTACAATCCTTTGTATGTTGAATCATCGTTTATATCTCGAGCAGCTTCTCTGATTCTTCGATCCTCTATTCCTCCGTTCCACTATCCTGTATTTCTCTATTTGGTCCGCTATCCTGTCTCTATTCCTGTGTTCCGCTATCCTTTATTCCTCGACTATTGCTGTATTCTACTGTTACACAACGTTTCATTCAGCCTCAATTCGTCCACACGTTAATTGATTTTCCTAACAATTTCCCACATTTTATTTTATAATAATTTTTACGTAGATATATACAGGAACTTTGTTTTCTTTTCCAATTGATCTGATTACACATTGAAGTGCATCCGTTACTGATAACATTTCTCTGAAGGTAAACGGGACAGTTATGCAACGAGAAAAATCAGTGGTTTTACTTGGTGTGCGCTTAAGTGACGATCTCACGTGGGGAGGGCGTGTTGATGAGTTAGTACTCGGATGCAGAAGGCGGCTGGGAGCAATATTTTGTATTTTTACGGCAGCTCCAGTGAGCACCTGGTTGTCTATTTTTCGAGCTTGTATTCTTAGCAAACTCGTTTATCGTTGTTTTGTCTATGATAGCAATTGTTATGCCACAAAACTATTGACAAAATTTTGAGATTATTTTCATTTGATTCATTTCTATAAAGTAATGAATAAGTTATCGCTACTTTCAGTTTTTGATCTGCTCTTTATAACACTACTGACGGATCGTAGGATAAAGTGTCTGAATACGGTTTTATACGGAGTACGGTTTTACGGCACATACGGACAAACACAAGCTAGTAGTGAACACAAAGCTAGTAGCGACATCGAATCTTACAAAGAACGGATAGCGTCAGCATTTTTCCATCAGACTGCCGACGATTGGAACACCTTAGAAGAAATGGTTGTTGCTGTACTAGGCCATTTTAAAGTCACGCTGAAAACTTATTTGCAAATTTAAGGCGTTTTCTGTGGGTTTATCCCTATTTCTGTACTCTGTTCTGTAAGAGTGCATATAAGCGTATATTCTCTCTCTTGTGGTGTTACTCCATATGACAGCCAGTATATGTACAAGTTTTTATTTTTTCTGCTTTCCTACAGCACCTCTTTTTTTTCATCAAGTCAGCTTTGTTTGTAAAATAAAACAGAATATCAAGTATCAATAGACTTTTCGAGTGTATTGAATAACAATCTGTTCGTCTTTAATGATCGTAATCATGTATTAAAACGTACCATTTGTTCAAAAACTGATAGTCCATAAATATTGGGGGAAGTATGTTAGCATTAAAGTTCTTTGTGTTAAATTACAATTTATCTTTCGTTTAAGGCCATTATGGATTACCGAAAAGGAAGTACAATATGTGTGATTGACGAACATTGCTTAGCAGTCAAACAATTTTTACTTGATGAATGTTAAAGAAGGATAAGCACTATTTAAGTATATTTAATGTGTCCTATTTTTCAGATATATTATCGAAAAAAGACTGAACAATAACACTGATTAAAGTCATCTACGAAAATACTAGAAAGATTTATTGAAGATAATTGGCGATGATAAATTTGATCTATTTTCTATTGTTATCCACACAATACTATTAGTAAAAAGTGACGATGTGCATAAACTGTTTGATGAACATCCAAATTAAGTAATTAAAATGCTACTAAAAACAAAATGGGCACAATAGTTATCATCGTTACTAAACTTGATGCTGTGAACTCATTGTATCACAACATTGTTTATAAAAATCTCGTGATAAACGTAAATACATTTTGTGAAACTTCGATTCTTCTGCAAAACTAAACATATTTTTCTGTTTGGTTTATGGTAACATTATTAGGTGTAAATTTTGTCATAATAAAGTCTATGAAAATGAACGGTCATTGTGAGTATTTTGATGTGCTGTTTGAATAATCTAAATTTGCTTTTTTTGTTTTCTGAGAATCAATTACTTCGAGTAGAATCACCCACACGATTTTAAAATCCAATTAGTACGTGTTTTAAGGGCAAAAGATTTTCAATCAATTAAAACTTTTATCTTTCAGACATCAT